AAGTTTTTTTTTGTGATAGATATATGGCCGATTATAGAATATATCAATATTCTATTTGTTTTAAATCGTAATTTCTGATTAATACTACCAGTTCCGTCAAACGGAAATTCCGTAAAACGGAATTTTGCCTATTAGGCAAAAATTATTTTGCCTAATAGAAAAATTAATTTGTTGCAAAATGTTTATTTGATAGAAATCCCACAAAAATACTCAACTTTATTGATAATCGTTGAATATAATTGTTACATGAACCTTTACAACTTACAACTTACTAACTTTACGAAGACCCAATACCACCCACTTATATTCTACTCATATAAAAGTTAGTATTTAAACAAAATGCATATTATAAATCTTAAAAGTAATCGATACACCACATATGAAATATTCAGAATAATATAACTTAATGTCTATAAGATAAAATTGAAGTCTTAATTTTTTTTTGGCATGTCGTGAAAACACCTAATATATAAAGGAATTATTATTTTTTGTGAATTGTACGAAATATGATGCAAAATATATTCGCACTTATTTTAAACAAATCTGTATAATGGAAATGGTAAAATTTTTTTTAAATTGTTATTAGGTTACAGGACCAGTTGATTTTAAGAAATATCTAAAACCAACTGTAATAATGTTTTTAATTTAAATTATTAAAATATGAATCTCCAATTACGAGTATATATTATATATAGTATTGAATATAAATAATTCTTAAATTTTTTTTTTCTTAAAAAGCCAAATGATAATTTAAGTATTTTGCTTATTTTGTGTTGAAATAATTAAATACCCGTACATACAAAAATTATTTTATATTATATCTATATTTGTTTAATGTAAAATAAATAATTTGAACATATATAAAAACTTACATGTAAAATAAATAAATAAAAGAAAACTCTGTAACAAAATATATACCTGAAGTTAATTGTATTATAAAATTAAGTTAACTAATATTTTACAAATATTAAACAAAAATTATTTTTGAATGAAACAAAAGTAAAATTATATAATTGTGAGATTGTTAACCTATAATATAAATAAATTGTAGTCCTAGTTGTACAATGTAAACATTATTTTATACTATATCTATATTTTTTTAATCTATTAATATATATAATAAAAGAAAAATAAAATAAAATAAAAAAAAAATCTGTGACAAAATATATATCTAAACTTGATTATATTATAAAATTAAGTTAACTATTATTTCACAAATATAATTTGAATGAAACAAAAGTAAAATTATTTAATTGTTAATTGTTGAACTATAATATAAATAAATTGTAATGCTAGTTGTACAATGTGAACATTGTTTATATGCATATATAAAGAAATAAATAAAATAAAATGATTTAAAAATGAATAAATACTTTATAAAACAAATTTTGTATTAATTGTTTTTATTGTTAAATGAGTGAATTAGTAGGCGTGTTTTGAATTTAATATCTAATAACCTCATCACATATACCAGTGCTAAAGCAGTCTAGACAAACATAATCATACATTTGATAGTTAACGTTTATGATCCTTGTCAGTAGATTCCAAAGAGATTGGCTCTTCATCCCCAAACTACTTAACATTTAAGTGCCACTTATTGCTTCAGTAGAAATTTCACCGTTTTAAATGAACAAAAATATAGAGGACTTCCATATAAATTGAGGTAGTAGTCCGAATATAAAAACAACGCCGTTCTATCACACAAACAGCGAAATTATTTAATAAAACTAAAGAACGTATCTGATATCATTTTCCCTTACTAAAGTGTGTGACAACACTCGTTGCAAGATTCTAATGTACATTGTGACCGAAAAGTTTCCGGAAATTTTAAATAAAACGCAAAATTCTTAATCTTCATCAATATTTATTTTATCTCCTTCAAAATATGCTCCATTAGAAGCGATACACAAATGCCAACGTTTCTTCCAATCATCAAAACATTTTTTATAGGCGCTTTCCGGTATGGCTTTGAGTTCCCTCTGCGAATTCTGTTTTACGTCTTCTATGGATTCAAAACGCGTTCCTCTGAGTGGTAATTTGAGGTTGGGAAACAGGAAAAAGTCACACGGTGCAAGATCAGGTGAATACGGTGGCTGTTCGATGGTATTTATTGAATGTTTGGCCTTAAAATCGTTGATAATGTTGAACAAATTGAGGTGAATCGGAACAAGCCGGGCGTTGACACGTCGCATACACAAATTGTCCACCAAAATCAAACGAGCCATCTCACGACCGATGCCTAGCTCTCGTGCTATCTCTCTAACACTCACATGAGGATTTTTGAACACGATTTCCTTTGCCTTTTCAATGTTTTCGTCGGTGGTAGAGGTCGAAGGTCGTCCAGAACGCGGCATGTCTTCGACGGTCGTACGACAGTCCTGAAAGGCTTTGTACCACTCATAAACTTGAGTTTTCGATAAAACTGATTCCCCATAAGCCTTTTGTAGCATTCGCAACGATTCTGCACACGAAATTTCGTTCGAAAAACAAAATTTGATGCAAACTCTTTGTTCAATATTTTTTTCCATTGTTTTTTTCGCAACGCACTACTGAGGTGAACTGGTTTCAACAGCTGCCGTAAACAAACTGTCTGACAGATCGCGCTCATTTTTGGCATAGTAATTAAGGACAGTGCTGCCAAACTACATAAACTTAAAATATCGAAAAATATACAGCGCGCGAATTTTAAATGAGAACTTCCGAAAACTTTTCGGTCACAATGTATAATAACATTCAAGGAACGATTTTGTTAATTTTTAAGGAAAATATTTTATGTTACCTAATAATTCGTTTGAAGCAAACAGTTGAATGAACTACTTTATAATCTTGGGAAATAATCGTAAATTCCATAAATTTTAAATTAACTTAAATATTTGAATCTTTTATAATTTCTTTAGATTTAAAAAAACAGATTTTTAGATGTCAGTAATTTAAATATTAATATCAATGACTAATTGAAGTATTGAACTAAAGTTAACGATTTATGGAACTCCAATTGTCCATAACATCAGCTGATATTTTAATTTAATTGAAAATAGGAAACGAATATGTAACAACGAAATGAAGCTCATGTACATAAGTAAGGGAATATTAAATTGTCATAAACGATACATTTCTGCGGAATCTATTGTTTTTTAACTCTTTCAATTTATGTGGTGGATTGGTGGACGTGAACTTTGATGCAGTATCGAAGTTATCTGTCACAATTGTAAAACATGTGTTTAAAGCTATAAGTACACTGAGTGAATGATGATTAAATAAAGTTTCCTGGAATACAAGAAGATATCAAAAGACTGTTCTAGACTTTTCAGTTCTAGGCTGACAGTCATGTCAGTCACCGGAATATTTGAATTACCTACTAAAGAAATATATGCATATTCATTTGTGTTTACTTTCATAGTCGACTAAAAGTGCGAAATGTTTCACAATAGAAAATGATTTTTTACTGGATGTCCAACTTGTAAGTCATGTACACATTTAACTATTTAAAATATCGCTTCTTGGTGTCTGGGATATGTTAATGAATGAACTATGTATGTTTCATAATTTTAAAATATGTTCGAAACTTTGAAAACTGAGAATACGTGTTAAGTTTAAGATTGCAGACGGTGGCTATTCTTTAGTCATTTTCAGAGTCGGTGGAGTTTTAATATAGCTCTTATTAAAACTAGCTATTTCCCTAGATCTTTATGCTTCATGTCAGTAGATTCCCAAAGTCTTTAAAATGTATTTTTATAGAAACACCTGCTAGTAAAAAAAATAGTTACACAATATTAAATAAATACTTCAAATGTGTTATAATTATTTCTGTCATTAAGTAAATTGTTCTCTAGCAACTGAATCTCTAATTCAAATTTTTTTCTCTCTGGTCCTTTAAATATTCTATTCCCAAAAGTACTGCTTGTAAACTAATTACTTATGTATTTTTTAAATAAAATTTGGCAGTTAATGGCACTGGTACCACGAGAGGCTTTAATGCCGGTATTAATAAAATATTCATTTATTTTATTCCAGTCTGGTTTTGCTTATATAGAATACCTTATCCATTTCATTTTATTACAATGTCTCCATATTATTCATATTATATAACAACGAAACTTTCATTCCTTTTCTGCTTTTTAATGAATTTGTAAATGGTACACATTCCATGCACATTCAAAATTCAAAATCAGCTGTCTAAAATATTTGGTGTGTTCAGTAAAAGTTTGAAAACCAATTTCCTTTAAAAAAAAAAATGGAGAGTTCAATCAGCGACTGTAAAACTGCGCAAAAATCAGTTGTTCGTATTATCTAAATAATATATATGAAATGCATTAATTTTATTGATTTCGCTTATACGGCGTTTACATTGGCCGAAAATGGCTCATTTTGGTCAAAAATCGAAAATGAGTATCGAATGCCTCATTCTTGCATATAAAATTTCAAGCACAAAATGAGGAATTTTCTCACATTCTGTATGAATGACGTTCGAATGCATTCCACATATGTTCCAAATGCAAAGGAATCTATTGAACATACCCTAAATGAAAGCTCTTCATGGCATTTTGACAGTTTGAAAAAGCTGTTTTGACATATTTATAAAAAAGATAAACAAATGTTTAGTAGTTTTATTTCAGTTTGAATTGTTACCAACCATGAGCAGCGAAAAATTACTGAAAAAAAAACAAGTTGTGTGGCCGCTCGAGGCGGAAAACATTTTGTGTGAACTTTGGGAGGAAGATATAGAAAACCTCCGTGGCAATAGGAGAAATAGCCACATTTATAAAGAATTTCAACAAAAGCTTTCATTGCGTGGAATGGAGGTGTCGGTTAAAGGAATTTCGAACAAAATAAATAACTTGACGAGCAAGTATAAGTAAATTTAATTACGTTTTTTGTATTAATTTAAATTATACATAAAGTATATTATTTATTTATTTACTAGGTTACATAAATTAAATTTTCTATTTATACAATTAAATTTATTAACTAATATGAAACCTAAAATATATTATAGAAAAGAAAAGGCAGCGATGGGCATGTCGGGTGGATCTCCATCTACTTGGCCGCTGTACCATAAGGTACATGCCATATTAGGCAGTTTTAAAATCCACAACGTCGAAACATTGATGGATGAAACTGGACACGAAGATAACGGTATGGTAATTATAATATTTTTCTTGAATTTATAATAAGTAAAGTAATATTGTAGTTTCAAACATTACTTCATTGGCCGAGCCAGCAGTTTTGGAATCAAATGAAGACACAAGTTTTTGTCCATTGTTCGAGTCAGTTGATTTTCTTTATGACGCAGACGCAGCTTCTCCACTGCAGCAAGTTAACTCTTCAACAGATACAAATTCCACTGCTGCGGTTGAAACAACATCTTTTGGAGCATCTGCAAAGAGAAGAAAAACAGACAGCATTTTACAGGAGTTACAATTAATGAGGGAGGAAGATAAGAGAAATGAGAGTAACTGGCAGCGTATTGAAGAGCGGCGAAACGATTTGCTGGAGAGATTGGTCAATAACTGTGAAAACTACCAGCAATCTTTATTAGAAGTTTTAAATAAAAAATAATAATAAATAATTATAGTATATGTAGTAAGCATAGCACTGCTAGCATACCGTATTATGTAATATAAATATTTTTATATTAGTATTAAGTATAATAATAAATCATATTAAGTACAGTATAGTAAGTAATATTAATTTAGTAATATTAAGGATAAACAGTAATTAGTAATATTAATAAAAAAAAGATTACCATTGATGCAATCACGAATTGTTGCTTCATTTAAGGGGTACTGGTTTAAATAAATTGGTTGCATTATTTTCCAGACTTCAGTGCAAAATTCTTTAAGGATTATGCATACAGATGATTTGGACACTCCGAAAAGGTTGCCCACAGTTCTGTACTCCGCGGATGAGCCAAGTGCGTACACTGCAATGGCAACTCTCTTCTCTAATGGAATTGGTCTGCGAAAGTTACTGTTTTGTTTTTTCATACTTTTGACCAAATCGCATAACTCTTTAAAAGTGTCCATTGTCATTCTGAAGTTTTCCTTGAAAAACGATGCATCTCTTTTTGGAACTTCTTCTTCCCAAAAAGTACTTAATCGGAGCTAAAAAATAAGTTTTCAGTTTATATTATATATTTTTTACTTTTATGTTATATATTTTACCTTCATCCAACATTTTTTTGGCACAGGTTCTACTTGGGCTACTAGTGCATTCATTAACAATTGCATTTTTATTTTTTTGTTTTTTTGCTTTCGTTTCGCTTTATTTATACTACTTGTTAATGTGATTACAATAGCTTTTATTGTTTGTAAATAATTTAATTGTTCTGCAATAATCACTTTTTTATGTTGATTGTTCATTTTTGTAAACAAATGTAAATTTAAACAAAATAAATTACTACTTCAAATGTCAAATAAAATTTACATTCACAAATCAGCTGTTGAGAAATGAGAACGAATGAAATACAACGAATGTAAACACTTTCGAATGAGTCATTCAAAATGAGCCATTTTCGGCCAATGTAAACGCCGTATTACTTAAGAACACACAAATTTTTTCCCTTCAATTTATACCATTTGCTTTAAATCACTGGTTTTGACGAAAGGAGTATGTTTAGTTACTACGAACACGTCGAAATTTTAAGAATTTTATGTAAATTTTATATGTAGCTTTCCCCAATAATCTTATATGACATTTATACTGCCCACAAATGACTCATTTCAAATCAGTAATTTGAAAGTGTTTACATTCGTTGTTCTTCATTTGTAATATTGGATGAAGGTAAAATATACCTTTAAACTGTACAAAATGTATAAACTAAAAACTTTTTTTTAGTTTCGATTAAGTACTTTTTCGTAGAAGTAGAAGTTCCAAAAAATGGTGCATATTTTTTAAGGCAATATAACCATCAAATATTTTTTTACCATATTTTGTAAATATATTAAAAACAGCTTTCTCAATTTGTCAAAATGACATAAAAAGCCTTTATTTAGGGTATGTTTAATGTATTCATTTGCATATGGAACGTATGTGGAATTTATTTGAAATTCGTTAGAACTCATATATACAAACTCAGCAAATGGAATTCATTTGCGTTCATGAGGGTTTGTAAGCAGAAGTTATATACTTCTCATTTGTGATTTTTGACCCAAATCAGTAATATGTGATTTGTTATCTATAAATAATCAGTTAAATTCGTTAGCTTAAAGAGCTGAAAAGCTTAAAAAAACTTCAATTCTTTATTGAAAACCGGTCACCAATATGTCAAAAAATAAAAAATGCTAGAAATGGAAGCTGAGTTAATTATGAAGTCTAATGACAACGCACGATTTAAGATATTTGGTAAATTTAAATATCATATGAATATCACAGAATCCTCATAATCCAAAGAAAGAAAGTTACCAGTATTATTATGAATATTTTTCTTAGAAATTCTTCTGGCGATGTACTTTTATATGTTAATATTGAAATATTTGATTTAGATTTGTATTTTAAGAAAGTGGTTAATGTAAAGTATAAATTAATATATACCATTTTTATTCAACCACAAATTAATTCGGAAATAAATTTCAAATTTTCACTGTTATATTAAAAACAAGTAGTAATTGCTTGTTATTCTATTATATTTGGTATATTTACAGTTCCCTATATTTTACAAGTAAAATTCTTTATTTCACATATCCGAATTCTCACGAATTATATTTTGTTCAATTGTTTTCGTACTTGAATAGTAAAATTGAATTGTTTGGATATATATTGCGTGAAAACATAAAAGACCTTTAACACATTTGATGTGTTTAAATGGATAGCTGTTGGCAATCCTAAATGAAAGTTTTTTGACAGCGATTTCATTTGTTGAAATGTTTTTGCAATGAGAGAGTATCAGCAAATTGCAGTGCACAAGCCGGTTGTTAATCGTTTTAAAAACATTCTTATTTAATTATAATTTCTAATGATAACAATTGTAATAAATTACTGATGTTGTGAAGCTAAAATTTTTGGTGTTTTTTCATTAAAATAAATTAATCGAAAATTGTCTTCACGCAATGTCAGAAACAAATATAAAAAATGATTTGACGGTTGCTCTAACGGGACTTCAGTCCATAAGGACACGAGGTCTGCATAAACTGTTCAGTCATAAAATAAGTTAAACAAACAGGAACAAAATTACTAAATTACGCTACTTCTAGTAATTGGAAAATGGAAAAAAGAAGTGAGAACGTGTTTTTGTATGGTAAGCCAAATTAATTATCATTTTTGTGTTCTTTTATGTATTAAAAAATGTTTTTACTTTATAGATTCTTAAAATATTTGGCATTAGTGTTTCACATTAAAAATATATTTATTATTGCCAACAAATAATGACTCCGTTGGACCTCAAATGCATAAGTATAAACCACGCAATAAAAATGGGGACAATAATCAAAATAGTTTGTCTTAAGTCAAAGGCATTGAAATTTCAATGATGGAATGCGATTTTGAATTTTATTAATGTTTCCTTCCAATTATTGCATTCCTCACCGTTTCAGCACTGGAGAATAAAAATGTGAGTAAATGTGAATTGCATATGTTATTCTTATAAGTAAAAATTAGATTTTTGTATGCACAAGGTATGTCTTTGACTAACTGAGATGTCCTTGAAATGTGAAGCACTTCCAATTTGTTTCTTAACAGATTTTATAAATTATTTTTGTAAATTTTTTATAATTATTAATTTTTAAGTCAGAATAAAGTTCTTGAGAAAAATGTATTCATTTGAGGATATAAGAATAGGCATTTATATTTGTAATATATTTTATAAATTTTACATTTTATAAATTTTCTGTTCAATAAAAAGCAAGATAATTTTTTCAATTTTATTAACTAAGTAAATTTATTATAATGTAGACATCCAAAATAACATAAGCTTTACATAGGTATATAACGAAAATGATAAGCAACAACACATTTGTATGTAATTTTATTGCAAAAATAACGAACAGATTTAACCTTTTTATATAAACTACATATTAAACATAAAGCTTGTGTTTGCTGCGTGGATAATAAACGGTTGTGAGATGCATTAAATCATATTATGAAGTGCACACTAGCTAACGTGTACGTGTGTTTTCTTTACAGCAAGTATGCAACTGGTTTTAAGATAATACACCTCTCTGTGCCATAAAGTGTCGCTTTTCTCCTTCTAAGTAGCGACCAAAAATCGGTTACTAACTATAGCTTTTTCTAGAAACAAAAATACAAACATAACATATTAAAGTTAAAATAGGAATCCTTCTTTATTAAGAGTATTTGATTAATCAAATGATTATTATTTAAAGACTTCAATGAATATAAACACGTTTCGTAATATCGCCATTTGTTATAGTGGACCTCCACTGGAAAAATAGTTCAGATTTTCTATTGAATGCAAATATGATGTGAGGTGGGTTTATGGTTTTATCATTAAGTAACGTACTGAAGTAACGGCGATTTTTAGTTTAGTTTAAGTTTACGAAAATTCAAATGTCATATAATAATTTCATTAATTTTCTAATATTTTTCAGTTGATTATAAAGAAAATGAATTAAAAATAACTTCTCTGCAGTTACAATAACCCAGGAATTCCCCAAAAACACAAATAAAGTATTTTTGGAAAGACTATGCCAATATTCGATGTCAGGACATTTCACATGTCGAACTGCTGAATAATGAAACATTGAAGATTTGTTAATTAAAGATGATTCCTGGTGAAAATTGACGATTAAAATGATTACACTTAAATTACTGCAAATATAACCAGATTGTAGTTATAATTTAAATATTAAAGACGAAGATGACGGTTGTGAATAACTTCATGCTAATTATCAGTAGCAAGTTAATGTGTAGCATATGCTATTAACTTGTATTTTATACTTATTAAAAATAATGTATCTCTGCAGACAAGCTGCTCTATATTGTTATCATGTGGTGATGCTTTAAAGCAATGTGTAACTTTGATATACATTATGAAATCATACTATGATCAAAAAACAAATACTGAATTTAGTACTACGAATTTGTAAGTATAAATTAAATATTTTTAAAATTTTTTGTAATAATTTAAATTAGAAATATTAATATATTTCTTTCATCAACAGATTTCTCCATAAGTCTCATCTGCCGTAATATTTAAACATTCCAGTCTTAAAGAATGTTTATATGTGTTCCTGTTTAAAAGATATTGTTATCTACTTACCAAGCAACAGATAAGACACATTAGTTTTTTTGGAATAATTATTAAACTCAGTATAAAAAAAATGATTGAATGCAACAACAACATAATCTTCAAAACAACAACAAAAACTTAAGCAAGTCATCAAAGCTAAGTGCAAGTTTTATTTTACTTTTATTTATTTATTTTTTATATAATATATTAAATAGGTTGAAATGTTCAAATTTTTAAATGCATATAAACTATTTTAAAATATATAAAATCAAAGAAACTTAATAGAATAAAAACTTTTAGTTTTGAATTAAGATTGTTTAAAGAAATTGGATTAGATTCTATACAAATTTTAATGCTTACAGCCAGTCTAAAGTTTTTAGAAACTGTTAAATTTATTTTTAATGATAATATTTAATTACATTAGATTAAGTTTCTTTGATTTGTGTATTACAAAATCTTTTCCAAATTAAAAGAAAAAATTAAAATTGTATAAAAATACAGGAACGAAACACAAAATAAGCAAAAAAAAAATAATCTTAGTTTGAAGAGGAATATTTTACAAAAAAAAATTATGAATTAGTCCTTCATATATTATATTTTTAATTTATTATTTCAATTATTTATTATATATTTAACTTAATTGCAGATTCCAATTTTTTGGTTGATTAGAAAATTATATATAGGTATATTTGGCTTAATTGTGTTAATATATATTAATATATATGGGATAAAATAATTGAATTTAGTATGAATATACATTTTTATATCCTAGTTCTTTATTGCTTTGAGAACACTTTGTCATTAAAATTATACCATTTGATAGTATATTCAAATATAATATTGATCGTATATATTTATCATATTCAAAAAATTGTTAACAAAGTACATTCACAAAAAAATTAATTTTTTAATACGTTGACTGTGACGGCAGTTTAACAGGATTCTGGCAAAGGCACCTAATTTAACTTAATCCTTTTTGCAAACAAATGTATTTATAAATTTTGATGAAACCTCTAATGATTACAAATTTTAGGTGTATTTATTAATTAATACATTTTGTGTTCTTATAAGTCAACCGTGAATTTTTGTTACGTTTCCGGAGACCATTTATATTTTCACTGATGTAGTATATTAGTATTGATGGATTTAATATGTCTACAAGATAACTCGCAGTTGAAAATTTGATGGTCCAACATTATTAGATAATATTATTAAGCTTTTTCGGTTTGAAATAATATGATGAAACTTTACCTAAAGTAGAGTTTTTTAGGAAAGTATGTTGAAAAAATCTCTTATTTTATTCCTTTTCATGATATAATATATTTCTTTCATATTTTTGAAGACAAATGCTCCTTAGCTTTAAAAACACTTTAATTAAAAATTACTATCAAACTTAAAAATTGCTAATTTTTATATTTTTTTTTTAAATAGAAAGTACTCAATCCACCTGACGGTAAATGCATTTTTTACATTGCTTTCACAAGCAAAGTATTATTACTAATAATAACATTAAATTGCTCTTTTCTGGGGTTGCAATACAATAATTTGTTATTACTTGCTAATCAAATGCTTGAATTTAAGTGATTTAAAATACTTGTGCTTACTTTATTTGATTGATATTATTATATTAGATAAACAAAATACATTTTGTATCATATATTATGTTTATATCGTAAGTTGATTGGCGACTGGTTTTAATCTTTCACATAGTACGTTTGTCAGAACTTTATATGCGATATTTGAAAGACTGATTCCACGAGTATTGGCGCAGTCTGCAAGATAACCTTTTTTGTGGATTGGGCAAAGCACAAGTAATATAAATTGAAATAAACACAAAGCTTAGCTTAAATGTTTCTTAACACCAAAGAATCTTAAGACTAATTAAAAATAATTTTCCTACAATACTTTAAGTCTTAATTATTATTATTATTATTATTAGGACATATTTATATTTTAACAAAATTATAAATTTAGTATAATTACAAAAAACATTTTATGTACATCAAATTTATATTATAGAATTTACAAATGCTTTCCAGTTAGTGAGCTGCCGAGCTATTGCTCTAAGCTCACTAAAAGATTTCCTTGTTTCGCAAGAATCTGATTGATGACAGATTCGCCACAGCGTTTCGTTGTTAATAATTCGCGGTCACCAGATTTTTAAAATATGTCTTAGGCTTCTCTTGATGAAGGATTGCAGCTTGTTTATGATAGGGCATGAAGTGTGCCAGGTCTCACAACCGTATAGCAAGGTTGATTTATGCATTTAATATTTTGAATTTTAAATATTTTGTTTGCCGCATAATTATTGTAGACTTCCTTCCAGATCGATAGTGTTTGATAGTAGCACAAAATCATCAGCATATTCAAGATCAGCTAGTCTGCTTCTTGACCTCCAGTTTATACCAGGTGTGCGGGTTTTTATGCTTTCAAATACCAAGTTCAAGACTGTTATAAACAGTATTTATGCATAGTCAAATTTAGTTGACATTAAAATGCAAAATATCTCACTCAGCACATTTTGCAGCTGGGGACCGAATTTGATGCTTGCTGTCTGTGCAATAGCGTAATTTAGTGATAACGCTATTGCATACAGTTTATTAGTTATATCAACTTTGTTTTTGTATCAACATAGATATTCACATTAATATAATATTTATGAAAAACTGTATGTCTCTATACAATATAATGAATACAACTGAATAAAACACTTTATTTTTATTTAAAAAGAAAATTATGTTTTATTGGTTTATTATTTTAATATAACAGGGAAGACTATGTCTTCTTATTCCGTATTACAATATTAACTTAATATTTATTTTTAATAACCGGGAAATCTATGTCTTCTTATACCGTATTACAATATTATATTAAATAATTAGGGAAGACTATGTCTACTTATTCCTTTTATTTGTTAACTAAAAGATAATGTCTTTATTTTTAATTTGTTAATTTACAAATGATGTTATTCTACTGTTTTTACTAAACATCAAGCATTGATCATCACCTTTAGATTTAACGTGACAAAATAATGCAGACAGAGCGTCAGCACTTTTAATCGGTCAGGTGAATAAGAAGAAAGAGAAATATTAAAGTTCAAACTAAGTTATCACGAAAACAGAAAATGAATGTCAACGAACTAATTGTGACAGAAATTAGTGGAGTTAATAAGAAATATTTCGCAAGATATGTATTTTATTAACAGAAAATATTGTTGGTATTAACTTACATACAATATAATATGCAAGAGATATGAGAATGTGGCTCCTCCACCCCTTAATTCGAGATTCTTCTGGATCTCGTTACAATAAATATATTCGGGAAGTAATAATTAAAAAAAAAATTAAAATAAAAATTTATACAATTTCATACTTCCTTTTAATTTGTTTTAATTCAATTTCATCGATATTATTGTGTTAGATATTATTTACAATTTTTATTTGGTCTTTTCTTTTATAAATGTAAAGCAAAATTGCAATAATTAGGAAGATAAGTACACCAAATGTAATACTTATTCCATAGAATAATTTTTTATGAAAATAAAATTCTTTTATTTCTTTTGTGTTTTTAAATTTTTCTAATTCAATGTTTTTAAATTCTGAAATTTCTTGGGCTGAAGTATTATCAAAGTGGAATTTTTCATAAAATTCAATCTTTTTTTTTTATATATTTAATGTTTAAAATTTTTATATGACAATTTGCAAAATTAATTAAATTATTTTTATTTAACACTATTCCATTTTGCACAATTTTAGGATTAATGGGATTTTATGATTTCTTGATTAACCAAAAAAGAATATACCTACTGTAAAGACCTTTTCCGGCCCTTTCTATAGCTGGGGTATACTCAGCGAGTATACCAGTGTTCGTTATAAGAAATTAATTTAAAAAAAATATAATAACAGACAATTCTGTTTATAGCAGCGTTTATTGTTTAACAAAAAAAAAACAATCAAGTTGTGGAAAGTTGTGTTGTAGAATGTTGAAAATGTTGTAGTTAGGATTGATGTCAGTGGTGCGCGGGTTGCTGTAACACGAGAAATTCCAAATCGCAATCTGTAATAGGAAAAATTCCAAAACACAATTTGTAACAGGAGAAATTCCAAATAGCCTCTTAAGGAAGTGAAAAGTTGTTACTCATTCAATAAGATTCTTGTCAGCTAAAGCCAGACAAAGTTCCCTTTCCAATACGAAACCTAGCCACGATTGTCAGCAATTGCCAAACGCTCGTAGATCCCCACGCCTTCTAACAGTGTTGGTGATTCGTCATCCATTCTTCCTACGCTGCAAAAGCCAAGCAAAAGGTAATTCAACCACCAGCATTGTAAATAAAAAACGGAGACAAAAGAAATTAATTTTTAATATTAAAAATTCCCCAAATTTATTAATTCATATAGATATTTATGACGACTCTCATATCAAGCCAATTGCGTTTTTCAAATTTTTCTCTTGTAAAATGGTATTTTGCATCGATATGCTTTGTTCTTTTTTGGTATACTGGAAACTAAACGTATGGCACTCTGATTGTCCATATAAAAATTTACACTTAAACACTTTTTTATCTAAAACACTCCCCTAAATATTGATGGATATATTAAATTATTTTAATACACATTATATACTCGAATAACAGATTATCAAAAAGTAACATTAAAATTATAAAATGTTATATGAATCATTACAAACAAATACTATCAGGCCTATTCTGAATCGCAAGGGAATGCGAGTTTGTTCGCTGTTCCCAATTCCCCTATTCTGAATAAATTTGGTATGTTCCCTGTTCCCAATTCCCCTATTCTGAATCGCATGCGAATGTGAGTTTTTTCCTAATTTTGCACAAATTCTCTCGCTACCAAATTGTTGGGGAGACAAGTTAAAAAAGTATTAAAAATAGTTTAATTTAATATAAAAGTAACTGAAAATGATCAGATTTTTGAATATATTTTAATAAAATTATTATTTTAATAAAATTATTACAATAAATTTAATATTTTCAAAGTTTTATTTTTATATTTTATCCACAAGAGTTGATTAGTTTTCCGCATATATATTAATAAAATTATTTTAATAAATTTAATATAACAAAATTTTCATTTAATATATTTTATTAAAATTATTATTTTAATAATATTATAACAAATTTGAAATATTTAAATTTTTA